CCAATTCGTTTGAATGTCATAGGATGACATTGAAACAAGTGGTACATATAATGTCCAGTTCGTAAAATTGATGGTTTCTATCCTATTAAACTGCTCGACAAACTTCCTACTCCAGCCTGACCGAACAACACCCCTCACGAGTCATCCCTTTCAATTACACCGTCCAAATTTAATTGACTTTGAGCTTTCAATGTCACGATCTGTGTTTTCTTCATTGGAGTAGGTGTGATCAGACTTGCACCCAATTGGCATAGTGGGTGGTTGGCATGTAGCCAATGTTTCCATGCCTATTTATTAGAGAGCTCAAGTCTTTGTTTTTATATGCAGAAAGATTTTTATCAAAGCCTCCTTCCAATTCTTTTCAAGACTTCTCTCTTTTATTTCTCGGGCATTGTTTTCGAGTGGTTCATATCACATTCATAGTCCTCAAAGAAGTTATTCGTTTTGATTCACATAGAAACAAGAATACAGTTTTCTATATTATATGATTATTTATAAAGGAATTTACCTAAATAAAACTAAAACATAATAACTTTCTCAATATATTATTTCAAGTAAATGTCCACCATCACTGAATATTATTTTTCTCACTAGACTTTATTCAGTATTTGTATTGAACCCGATGACGAGATCAAATTGATAATTAATATACTAAATAGTAATTTTCAGTCTATCAACAACTATCTGATCGGGTTCAAGTCGAAGGCAAAATAACTCAGTTTGGGCCGGGCTATTGAACATAGCACTTCTACTGCCCGTTTAGAAAGGAGAAGTAAAATGATGGCTACAAACGATGTGGGAACAGGACGCCCGAGAGAGAAGTTGAATGACGTATTTTGATATCGATTAGACGGACAATACAACAATAATAACTATGACTGTGGTCTGTGGACTAAGATTCCGACAACAGACCATATTTTTATCTGAAATTGTGTATGACAATACGACATATGATGAACAATACTCCATCCGTCCCGTTTTAAATTTCCTGTTTTGACTTTGGAGCATATTTAAGGAAGAGAAAAAATAGAGTTGACTTTCTGAAATTGCCATTACTTTTTAGGAGAGGTGACGATGAATGAGAAAATAATGTGGAGAATAGCGACTTATTTTAGGGGTAGTTTAGATATTTTATTCTTAAAAGTTTACGATAACAAGAAACATGCAACTTATTTTGGGACGGAAAAAAAAGGAAAGCAGGCAATTTAAATGAGACAGATTGAGTATTACATTTTAGCATTCAAATTAACATCAAATGATAGAAGATCAAAAAATTATTTATAGAAAAATACTCATAAAAGAAGAACCATTGTATAATACTTGATAAACTAAATAGGGAAAACCCCATATTATAAATAGCCAATTATGGAATTTACTCTAACTTTTATAACGTGCATGTTCTAATCGTATGCAGAATAATACTCCCTCCGTCCCTAAATATTTGCAACACTTGTATTCACGAGGTAAATATCAAGTTTTTTCAATTCATTTTATTTACATATTGTTATAGAAATAAAAAATAAAAATTACATATCAAAAAACTACATGAAAAAGTTCTTCGAAATAAGAGATGTCAAGAATATTTTATTTTATCAAATAACCAATGAAGACGTAGAAATAAACAAAAAGTTTCCACGACTGCTGAAAAAACAAATGTTGTAAATATTTTGGGACGGAGGGAGTAATTGTTCATATATATTTTTAATACGCGAAGATATAATTGTGTAAAATTAATATTATTTATTTCTAAAATGTGCATATGTCGGATGTATATTAAAAACTACCTCTCTTGCATAAAAAAATTTTATTTGACTTTTATAAAATAAAACAAAATTAAAAAAAGAATTATTTTAATATTCTTGGGAGTTGGGACATACGAAAATGAAATATTGAAAGTTTTCACAAGAATGAATTGACGCCTTTTTTTTATATCCTTTTTTAATCTAAGTTGTTTTGAATTATTACACACAACTCTGTTGTTTTGATATTAGAATTTTTAGAAGTGAATATATAGTCTATGTTCATTACTCGTTAGTAAACCTTAATTTCTGGATAATTAGATAAAACAATACATCTAATGTTAAATCAATAATATCTAATGCAAAATTAACATTTTTAGTCTCGGACCATTTTGTAAGTATTTTGATATATAAATTGTGATTTAAGAATATTTTTGTTTGGTCGAGACATCGTTATATTATTTAAGTTATGTTTTTCTTTCAACTAAGATTAGTAAAAAGCATTGCTTCATTTGTCTTGGAATGAAGACATGTTCCCATCTCTTGGAATGCTAGCCAGACAAGTCTTATCCATGCCGGTTTCAACCGTAAATGTGGCCTGTAGAACAAGAGATCAGTTTTAGCGACAACATTCTTACCGACTACCGAAGTTATCTTAGCGCTGAATCGTTTGAGACACTTGTTTGCAACCGAGATTGGATCTTAGCAAAACGTCAAGCTCAAGAGTCAGGGTACAACTTTGATACCCAAAATTACATGGATGCAACCACAGAGGGGAACGGTAGTTCCGATGAATAAATTTCTATTTTCATTTTATATTGTAATTAAATTTTTTAGATGAGCGATTTATAAGCTTTTTCGAGGATTTCTTTACGGTTCATTACCTCGTCCCTTTTTTTTAAATCGTTGGGATATTAAATATAGTTGTTTTTGTATTATTTATTTTTCATTATTTAAATAACAATTACTCCGTATATTTTAAGAAATTATAATCCATACGAACATTTAATTTATTTTATACTTACAGATTTACTATTACAAAAAAATAAGCAAACCGCCAAACCAGCCCTGAACTGGAACTGTCAGTTCTGGAATCGGCGCCGGCAGTCCCGGCACCGTGACATCCAACACCGGTAAGGGTGCTCTGGGGTGGCGGTACCGGCGGTTCCAAAACCGAAATCATGCCAGAACCATATCGAGTCTGCCCCTATTCTAAAGTCATGCCTCATCCCTTTCAATTGCACCCCTCAAATTTAATTGAGTTTAGGCTTTAATGTTACGGTACATTGGTAAGTGTTTTCTTCACTGAAGTAGGTGCCGGTCACCCATTGCACCCAATTGGCATAGTGGGTGGGTTGGCATGTAGGCAATGTTCCCATGCCAGTTTATTAGAGTTCTAAGTCTTTGTTTTGATATGCAGAAATATTAATTTTTCTCAAGACCCTCTCTTTCATTTTTGGGAGAAAGACCAAAGTAGGACCAAAACATTGAAAATGTACCAAAATATGACTTCCATGTTTTTATTCCCGAAATAGGACTACATTACCAAACATGGTCATATACATTACCAAAAAAAGCATAGTAATTTGGACATGTACACTGCCATATTACCACAATGCAAAGTCACATTACCACAGTGCAAAGTCCTATTCCGGGAAAAAAACATGGAAGTCCTATTTTGGTACTTTTCTCTATGTTTTAGTCCTATTTAGGATGATTTCTATTCATTTTTTGGCTATTGTTTGCGACTGATTCACAAGGAAGTTATCCGTTGTAATTCAGATAGAAACAAGAATACAATTTTTTACATTCTCTTCGTTTCCCTAAGATCATCTCATTTTGACTTTTTGTGGTTTTTAAGGGGAGCTAAAAAAGGGTAAAAGTTTACCATAATGAAAATGGGTGGAGTGTATTAAATGAGGTAGGTGAAGTGTAATAAACAAAGTAAATGTGGGTAGTTGTGATATTTTAATTGTTAAAAAAAGTAATGAGAAGATCTATTAAAGACAAATAAAAAAGACTATTGGGAAAATGTATGGGAGACAGAAGGAGTATTATATTTACTCCGTACTTAGCAAATAACTCACTACCCCCGCCCCAAAAAAAACAAATAACTTACCCGAGTAATGGTTCGAGCCAAAACAAAAAGTAAAGGAATTGCCCACAGAAAGTAGTTTACCTTAACTGACTCTGTGGTGAAGCCGATGATGAAATCAAATTCTCTCTGTGGTGAAGCCGATGATGAAATCAAATTCTTGTTAATATGCAAAATTGTTATCAACAACTATGAGATCTCATCATCGGCTTCACCACAAAGGCAAAACAACTCTTTGGGCCGGAGCTATTGAACATGGCACTTCCGCTGCCCGTTTACAAAGGAGAAGTAAAATGATGGCTAAAAACGATGTGGGAAAAGGACGCACGATCTGAACAGAGTGAGAGATTGAGTTGCACTTTTTTCACCTTGCCTATCTTAGTTTGTTCATTTAACTAAAAAAAAGATTTTCTCTTCGTCCAATTTAACCTGAAAAAATTGAGCTGAAGTATATTGAAGACAGAAATACTCCCTCAGTGTCCCAATTTAAATCAAATGTTTCGAATAACGATGTTTGGCTGAAGTTATTCAAAAAATTTTATTTGAGAATTGGGATGAAATTAAAAAATTAAAATTTACAAATTTTTAAAATATATCGAAAATTCTTTGAAAAATTGTGACACGACTATATTGTATTATCAAATACGTAACGAAAATAGAAAGACAAAATGAATGAAGTATATTTGGAATAGAGGGAGTAGTATATTTAAAGATCTACTCCGTTCAAAATAAGGTACCACAATACCACATGACTATAATATTTTATATAATAATAATAATAAGAACTGTAATAATCACATCTAAATAAGTTTTTAGTTAATGCAAGAAAAATCAGGAGTTAGAACGAATTGAAAGAGATTAAAAGGAGTTAACGGAAAATAGAAAGAGTTCAAAATTATGTTTGATTTAAGAAATTGGGAAGAAAATGAAAAGAAAATAGATTTTTCTTATTTTTCTCACCAAACTATGAGAAGGTTGTTAATTTTGCTGTTCATATTCTTTTTCTTCCACTTTTCTTTTCTTTTCCTCTACAACCAAAGAAGAAAAATTATTTTCCATCTCAAGTTTTTCTCTCTTTCAAATTTCTTGATCTAAATATAATGTAAAAAATTGGAAGAAAATAGAACAATGCTTAATAGCAAATGTAGAGAATCAAAATGGAACAAAGGGAGTGAGTGGGAGTATTATAGAGAATATTAAACTTTCTAAATGTACAACAATATAACATGTGGCAACAAAATGGCCTTGAACCTTATTCTTATGAGCATTAAAAGTAACAGTATACTGTATATATCACAAAGGAACTTACCAATATGTCTGGTGCAAGATGAACTGTGTATGACAAAATGACCCATTCAAATTTTTTTTCATGGAGGACAAAAAGGTCACATAATTGTACACCCATTTGTGTTTTCTTCACTGAAGTAGGTGTGGTCACACCTGCACCCATTGTAACCACTTGGCTGTCCACACCGACACCAACCGGAGTAATTGTCGTTGTAGCATGGCTGCGGCAGCGGCGGCGGGAGTGGTGGGGCCATCTGGGGCCCGCCGTACCACTCGTAACCCGGCTCGAAGCAGTACATTGACGGCGGGTACCCGTGGGAAAACGGCATCACGGACACTTGCCCCGGGGGAGGCATGTTCATCACGGGCACCTGCCCCGGGCCAGGCATGTTCATCAACGGCTCCGGATGCTTCATCGGTATCGGGAACGACCCCGGAAACGGGACACCTTGTTTGGGCATCTCGGGCATGTCTTTGGGCTTCTCGGGCCCTTTCGGTTTTTCCTTGGGCTTCTCTTGGTCTTTTGGTTTTTCTTTTGGCTTCTCTTGGTCTTTCGGTTTTTCTTTCGGTTTCTCTTGGTCTTTCGGCTTTTCTTTGGGCTTCTCTTGGTCTTTTGGTTTTTCTTTGGGCTTGTCAGCCTCTTTCGGCTTCTCGGAATCCTTGGGCTTCTCGGAAGGCTTGGGTGCATCCTTGGGCTTCTCGGCGGGTTTCGGAGCATCCTTGGGCTTCTCGGCGGATTTGGGCTTAGGAGGGTCGAGGATTTCAATAGTCTTTATTACACCACCCCCCTTGTAACATAGTTTGTCGCGGATCTTCTCGGGGCTACAGCAAACCACGGTGATCTTAATCTTATTCTCCTCCTCAATGTATATTTGGTCTCTGATTTCTTTGGTTCCCAACACACATATATATATATATCATAATATATGTCAATCAAAAATCAAACTAAATCCACAGGGTAAGTATATAATGGACCTAATGCCCATATTAAGAATTAAAAAACATATAGAGCCTCTAATATTTCAATCATAATTAAAGCTATGACAAAACAAAAGATAGCAGAGGCCATGGAATGGAAAACAAAGTTGATAAGGAGTGTTTATTACGCATTTATTGTCTTTTTTTGGAAAAAAGTGCATTTATTAGTCCAGAAATGTACTTTTTACAAAAATAAAAATAAATGTGAAATAAATGTTTTTTTGTTGTGACAAAAAATTGTGGGACAAATACATCTTATAAATTGTACTCAAAGATATGTTGTGTCCTTCGCAAAATGGAGAACAAAAGATAATCCTATGGAGAAGTATACATTTTTTTTAATGATGATAATAAACATAGAAAAAATGATTAAAATAATTTGCTCTTTTTATTTTATACGGAGTAATGGGGTGATAATAATTTGTTAAAATCAAGGAAGAACCCAAAGAGAGTTTTTATGATGAAACTATGGATATAGTTCTCCATAAATAGAAATAGAAGTAGTGTCAACTTTGCTATTTCACCAACTTTAAACATAAAAATGTGATTCATTTTTCGATAGAATACGAATAATTGTATTGCACACAATATTGAGGAGGAATGAACAATGATAAAGAGATCCCAATAATGTTAATAATTGTAGAATATTCCCCTAATAATAATGGAATAATATAATAATATAATCATTAAAAAATCCATTTGTATAAAAAAACTTTTTATTTAACGATATTTATAATGTACAAATATAATTATTAATGATCTGGGTCCGTTTGGTATACGGAATTGATGGAATTGAAATTGAAATTCCATGAGATTCAATTCCATAGAATTCAATTCACCAATTCTAATTCATTTTTTGCATTATCAATTCCAAATCCACATGATCTTTGTGCTACCAAACACAATAATCAGAATTGAAGTCCTCAATTCCAATTTCATAGTTTGAATTCCGTGTACCAAACGGGGCCTCAAAGTATTGTATTGATAGCCATGAAGAGTCAAATGTAAAGATCTTTTTTGGGAAGAGATAATAATAATAATAATGGACAGAGATGAGTAGATCCAACTAATTCATTCCTGAAAAGAAAGAAAAAAAAGAGAGTGGGATTAGAGATACTGACGGGGGAATTTGCAAATGACTTTTTTGGCCTTCTTGTAGCAGCTTGAGCACTTGAGATCAACACCCAGAACCATAACAGTGATCTGTTCCATAATCAAATCCACTAATTTTCTCAACAACAAAGAAAAAATTGATACAAAAGCCCAATTCAGGCTACCAAACAGTCCCTAAACTTCCCCAAATTTTCACCAAGGAGACTGTCGGTGAAGAATCTGATAGTAAGAAGAGTGTAATCGAATTCCAGATTCGAAAAGTGTCCCTTTCATTTAGGCTCATAATATATTTAAAAAATTAGGTCAGAATCTACAGAAAATTGGATCGGTAAGTGTTGATTTGCAGGCTGAAATGGATGTGTAGTACCTTCTCGGTTTTGTCGTGCGCCATGGCTAAGACGAGATTCTTAATGAGAAAGAAGGAATCGGTCTCTGTCTGAATCTGCAGATGAAAATGGAGAGAAAGAGAGAGAGAGAATTGAAATTGGGGAGAAAGAAGAAGTGGGGAAGTTGAAGACAGAAGAGAAAAAAGCGAAGAGTTTGGTGATATCATCAGAGGAAGAAAAAGATGGAAGAGGTAATTAATTAATTAATTAATTAATTAATTAATTAATTATCTGATGGCCGAGGGAGGGGGGGCCCCACGTATTTCTGTTTCGGGGATGACTCTATGCTCTCTCTTGCATGTGCACGCATCATCACCCCATATGACTATGCAAAAATTGCTACTCCGTTAGCCTCTAGTAGTTCCGGTTGGAATTTGAATAATTTTGATTTGATTAAAATAAGTCTTGATCTAATCTTAAAATTGTTATACATAAAGTTTTTTTTTTCTGATTCTAATAAGAAAAAATAGTAAATAATATGAATAAGTTGAAGAGAACATAACCTTAGGCTAATGTGTACGAGTACGAGTAGCTTAGATGGTTGAATTAGAAATGTTAAAGTAGGTAAGCATACAAACCGCCCGTTAGATTATGAGGAGGTGCTCAGAGATGCAGCTCATGTTTTTTTTGGAAGAGATAAAGTAAAGTCACACAGGAATAAAAAACTTTCAATTATAGAAAAGTTCTCTCTTATTTTCAGTCTTTCAAAATGCACCCGAGCGATTCCGGTGAGAACAATCTTGCGAAGATGAACGGGTCAAGTTGTTTAAACGACAATGATGAATCTGGCACATCCATCTCTTCATCCTTGTACCGCGGCCTTTCATCTCGGAGTGCCCGAATCAACTCCGGGTCAACCTCGATGGCATTGTAGGTCCGGAGGTGATCGGTCGATCAAGATGTTCATTACTAGCAGCTCGTCGTGAGTTTTTAGCCCAGTGGAGTAATATACTTAACGGCCTGTGGCCCATTTAACTTAATTGTTTGTCTAGAAGTCCATAGACAACGACCCGGAGTCCTTTAAGCGTTTTCACTCGATTATTCATTTCTGTGGAATGAGAATCTATTTGCAATTGGGGGAGTACAATTGTCTTTAATCAACATTTCAAGGTTGAACAAATGACCAATTTTCAAACTTCATGTGAACATGTTTCAACACAATGGCTGGCTGTAGGCTATAGGGGGGCTTAATTGGGGGATTATTTACGAGTAGGATTCAGGGATAATTTGTTGGGGTTCCACTCCAATCCAAACCCACTTTTGACGCGGGAGAAGGGCCGGTGGGGTGTTCAAAAATTAAAATCGACTCTGAAAATGAATTCTCAGGCTCCGTTTGATACACAAAATTATAAAATTGGAATTGGAGATAACAATTCAAATTCTGCTGTTAACACAAAAATATGTGAATTTGGATTGGTAGTGCTAAAAATGAATTGGAATTGGAGAATCCAGTTCCATCTAAATCAATTCATTAGAATTTCAACTCCCAATTCAATTCCAATTCCTTCAGTTTCGTGTATCAAACGGATCCTTAATTTCAGAACTTTTTGAAATTACTCTTTTACCATTAAACCTTTTGGTTTCTTTAAAATAAAACAAGGACAAAAAGAAAAATATGTTAAGATGTTAGACGGATAGATGGACTAATGATAGATCGTGTAGGATGCAGGCAGAGATTTTTCTCACCCGTCATCCAATTCATTTAACCCGGCTCGTTTATGTTTACTCTAAAAAAAACTAAAAATAGAAATATTAGCTTTGTTGAGTATTTACATAAGTTTGATTTATAGTCTATGTCCTAACTTACAAAAAAAAAACTAATGTGTAATTTAGAAGAGTGTTTCTTTGCCAGCTTAACTAATATCGATCTTAAATTTCTAAAAAAATTCCGTGTTATATATGCTTTATAAGCTTTTTGTTTCACGAAAATTATGATTAAAAACTATTATTAATAGCATCGATTTTCACCCGTTTTCATCCGTTTCACCTACATGTCACAGATGAATCAGGTATGAGTGATGTATGTAACAGATGATAGATAAATCAGGTGATAAAATGAAGGGAATAGATAGATGAGGGTGAAACTTTACCCGACCTAATAATGTCATCCCTATCCTAAATAGTCTAACCATCCTTTTGAAACGGTGGCAGCCCATCATTTGAGTGTCGTCTTCTACATTAGTCCATTCCATCATTATGAAATCATAAATTAAAAGTTTGAAATTGTTAATCGTCTTTAAACTTACACTCGCCCTCTAATAAAAAAAATTACACATTTTCCTTTTCATTCGTCTAAAGAATAAAATTTCCTTTTCTATTTCTAAATAATCTTTTGTATGGTTCATTTGATCTGATCTGGTTTAAATAGAGATGTCAAATCATTAATTTTTCTCCAAATTACCTCCGAAGATGGAAGGGAGGGTAAAATAGTCCAAATGGTATTAAAATTGGAATTTTGTAATTCTTTTTTGGACAAGAATGAGAGAGAATATTGTAATCAAATTAGGGACTGAGTGAGAATAAATTAAAGAGAAGATGCTCGAAGTATGTAGTATTATTGTATCCTGCGTATTTTTTTTATCTCTTATATATGATTCTCAATTTCATAATTTAACGTTTCTCAATAAATATACTTATTACATTAAGGCTTTGTTTGGTACACAAAATTGAAATTATGAAATTGCAATGAAAGACAGCAATTCCAATCCTGCTGTTTGGTTAGCACAAAAGTATGTGGATTTGGAATTGGTAGTGCCAAAAATGAATTGGAATTGGAGAGTTCAATTCCATTCAACTCAATTTCTTAGAATTTCAACTCTCAATTCAATTTCAATTCCGTGTACCAAAGACACCCTGGCCCCGTTTGGTATACAGAATTCAAACTATGAAATTAGAGTTGAGGACTTCAATTCCAATTCTGGTGTTTGGTAACACAAAAATTATGAAGATTTAAAATTGATAGTGCAAAAAATGAATTGGAATTAATGAATTCAATTCTATCAATGGAATTTCAATTCCAATTCAATTCCAATTTCATCAATTCCGTATACCAAACGGACCATTATAATCTCTAATATAATGTCGGCAGGGCGCCTGACCTTTATCAAAGAATTGAAGTTGGTACCATTTCATTTTCTATAAATTCCGGCCGTAAAATGTACACTCTTTTAGGGTGGACTTGTGGACGCAAATATTTAGCCTACACTCCTTTTTTTATCTTCCCACTTAAAAATTTTTTATATAGTTTTTAAATATATAAATTATAGTTTTTATTTTTATATGAATTGGTTAATGAAATATTTTTCAAACAGCCGAGATTTTGTACATTGTTCGAAATAAAAATTTTTTCAGACGGAAGGTGTACATAGCATTGAAGAGTAAAAAAATACATTATTTGACATGTTTTTGCCATCTTATTTATAATTTGTGATGGAAAGAACAGAGCAGGTATAAGTGACTAATGGAAATAAGTAAGGTAAGAATATATAAAATTTGTGGATAATAGGGAGTAACAATCAAGAAGATTATTTTGGTTTGGGTTCTAAGCTAAAATCTTGTTCATCCATGCCCTACAAATTTTTGGCATTAATTACCCTATTTTGGACTTAGTTTATGTCATGGGTGAGCTTGTGACTGGTGTGGTACACTATACCAGTCAATTAGGTGAGAAAATCAATGTTAGTAATTACGGAGTACTTATATATGTGTGGGCCGGTTGTGTAAAGTGTAAACCCCACATGGGGTGATTCGTAGGGTGTAAACTTGCATGATGCATCTACGGCATTTCGAAGTGCCCAATAATCAACTTTAACTTAAACCGAATCCTACATTTAAACTCGAAACTCGAACCTGTAATTTAATCAATAATCAATTTGACGTACTCAATAATTTTAAAAAGATTAAATCTAATTTTTTTGTATCTCATTTTTTATTAAGAAATTATAAAATAATTATAAGGGGCATACTTGATATTGTAGCACCTTTATAAGGAGTGCTCATTATATCCATGAGAAATGCTAGGGGTACACCATTTGGGGTACCTTATTTGTACACCATCAATCTTAACCCTTCATTTCTTTTTTTATTTTTAATTTTTTTTTTCCTCTCTTGCTTTTTTGTGTGGTGGAGATGAAGGGGTGTACAAATGGGGTACCCCAAATGGTGTAGCCCTAGCTTTTTTCTATATCCATAGATAGACTTTTATGTTATAAAATATTGGGGTTTGAGTCGGATCGGGTGCGGGCTCAATTCGGGTCGGGTCGGGTAAAAATATAAACCCACACTCGACCCGACCCGATGTCGGGTGTGGGTAAAAAATTTTGGGTCGGGTTCAGATTATTTTATTCTCGATTTGGGTTCGGATATTTTAGTGGTCGGTCGGGTCGGTTAAGATCGGGTTCGGGTTGAATTGCCATCCCTATACGTACCTAGTTTACACTTTGAAATGTACAAAACTTTTTGTTTTAAAAAAATCAAAAGTACATTCAAATAAAGAAAGATAAACTAATGAAAAGTAAATAATTAAATTCAAAAATGCTTATAAAACTTAGTTTAATTTATACTTCATATTTTACAAATAAAAGAGAACGAATGATAACAAAATAGCATTTCAAATGTTTGTAAATTTTTTAAATATTCATCTACAAAAAAATAAAATTTGAATAAACAATTATATAAATAAAAGATTATTTGTAATTCATCTACACTTGAAATAATTTTTCAAAATCAATTTATTTTTTAATGAAGAAATATAAAAGTATTGTTATTCTTATAACATATTATAACATATTTGTATATATGTTTGGCTCGAAATTTTTCAGTATGGGAAGTTATCTCCTACCGATCAATTATTTGGAGAATGAATTTACCAAATTTGGATAGAATAAGTGTTTTTAGTCATTCCAGTTAACTTATTTGAATTAATTTGTACAATATTCATAAACATTATTCGATATACGCAGGTTATTATGTACACCTAGATGTAACTATTTTCGAGTACAACATGTGATGAAGATAAGGGAGGGTACGGTTGTGTATGGGTGGTGCGGAGGGTGTGCAAAGTAGCCAACCGCACAGGGCCCCTAAAATTTTAGACTTCATATTTTTAAATTCATCATTAATTTTGAAGCATAAATAATTTAAAACAATAAAATAGGGCCCAAAATGTAAATTTCGGACTGGGCTAATTTCTTTTTTTCATTTTTTGGGCCCGGCCCAAGGTGGCGACTTGACCCCAATGCGATGATGGCTCCTCTGCAGCGGCGACCCATGGACAACAACTTCTTTGCGTGAAACCCGTGCTGATATCCGTGACGGCGGTGATCTTCAATAATGAGACTTAAAATAATACATTTAGACGGTGAGTTCTTTGTATCTTGGTAAATAATTAGTATATCAACTCTCCAATATATGAGAGGAAAATATATTGACAATGAAGAGTATTTGTAGTTTTATGGAAGGAGAACATGAATTCAATCCAAGAAAAAACAAAGCAATGCGGAGTTGAAGAGAAAGGAAGGTATTTATTTCCCCCACGTCGGATTTCCAGTTTACACTTTTCTTCTTAATAAACCGCCAGTTTTCAATTTCGTTTGCCGAGCTCAGTAACGCGGGCTTGTAACCCAAGTGGGGGCTATGAGGTGGTGGAACTTTGGGCTTGTCTCTGAAGCTGGGCCGAAGAAGACATTATTTGGGCTGCCCGTTTCAAGCTGGGAGTTGGGCGAAGGTCCTTGCTCGAAGGAGCGGTGGTCTGGTCCATTAAATGGAGGGCATTGCGTGAGGCTGGTTTCACAGAGCAGCGAAAACCTCTTCCTCTCAGCAATGAAAGGATAACAGCTCATTGTCTTCGAGGCCCAATATAACTGAAGGGCTACCCAATTGAACCACCACCTTTTTTCTTTTTTTTCATTTTTCTTTGAGCCATAAAAAATTGCAGTATGACTTTAAAAAAATTCAGATTTTGTATCTAATAAAAACTTCGAAAATTTTGACAAAAAAACCCTTCAAAATAAATTATTACTTCAAATAATTTATAATAATACATCCACTTCAAAGAAAAATCAAACTTTCTTCTTTTTTTGTTCATTGCTTTTGACAGTGATAGTAACGCCCGCTAAAATACTATAAATACACCATGACAACTAAATACGCTTCATTTATCTTCTTTTTTTGTTCATTTAATTACTATCCGCCATTTATTTTATTTACTTACGTTTCAATATTTTTTCGTAAGTTTTAACTTTAGTTTTAATTGATATGTTTGGGTTAACGCTATCTCAGTTTTTATTATTATATTGACACATATTTTTTTTATTATCTCAGTTTTTTCTCGTTACAAATATGAAATTCCCAAAAAAATAACGAAGTTGTTACAAATTTATCCTGAAGCATATCATACCAATTTTGTAATATCAATATCAGTAGGATGTAAAACTTTTAGTATTTTAATATCGATTTTATTTTTTGAGAAAGTCAAATGATAGAATTTTTGAATTGAACTACATTATAATATTGAATCCAATCGATTACTTAGGTTCATTCAATTGCTTGATGTGGGATACTCTTTAACAGACAAAAGCCTCATATTTTAAATGGTCATTCAATATAATAATAATTAAAGTTATAATGAATCAACTTTTAAAATGAATCCAATTTAAAATGAATCTAATTTTATACAAAGTAGGGTTTATACAAAGTTATGAAACTATTTTTAAAACTTGCTAACCTAAAATAAAAAAAATATATAATAGCAAGTGCAAAAAAATTCACCTGAACAATATTAAAATTAGCTAACTTTAAAAATATAAAAGTACATGTTCAATTGGGTGTTTTAGTAGGGTCAGACAGGTCAATACTGTTCTTATGGGTTTTATTTCTTTTTGGACAAATATCTTTATATTCCCTAGTATGGTTATGAAACGTATTCAAGCTATTTCTAGAAACTATATTTGGATTTCCTCCAAAACTTATAAGAAAACTCCTTTAAGACTCTAATTCCCCCTATGAGGATGTGTGTTTAGCTAAGACATTGGGTGGATTGGGCTTAAAGAATCTGGTGGCATGGAACAAAGCTGTTGTTATGAGATTAAATTAGGACTTGGCTAATAAGAAGGATAATCTCTGGGTTCGTTGGATTCATAGTAGATATATCAAAGGAAGAAATTTTTTGGAACTATACTCCCACTTCTGACTATTGTTATTATTGGAAGAAAATGCTTAAGATTAAGGCTGTTTTTGATACTATGCCTCATAGGGGGGGATTAGAGTCTTAAAGCTGGGTATGAATGGCTCATTGGTACTCATACTAAACACAACTGCTGTAGCATTGTGTGGAATAGATTCACCATGCCTAAACATCAATTCTTGGTGTGACTTTTACTAAGGAGCAGCCTGCAAACCAGAGAAAGGTTGGGCAGATTTATAGCTTTTTTAACTATTCAATTGCTAAACGATGAAAAATCAAATAGCTAATCACTAACTCTGATGCAAAAAACCTAAACTCTAATGTTGTTTCCAAACAGGGCCAATATAAAAGCTTGGGGTGTTGATTTTGAAAAATTGAACCAAACCAAACCGAAAACTCAGTAAAATATATTTTGTACCCAATGCCCAACCAAATTCAATCTCTTCAGTTTGGTAAATGGTTATACCAAAAAACCAAAGAGCTCGGTGTATCTTAGAAATGCAAGAACAACAGTGGCAATATCTCTAAACTCAGGGAGAAAGCTGAAAAAGAAAAATAACAACAAAGAATGAAGTACCTCATTTGAAAACAAAGCTAACACAAACACACACAGGCATATAATGTCTGTGCAAGCACAAACATTATGTGCCTGTGTGTCCATGTTAGTTTGGAGTACAAATGAGATACTCCATTTTGGCGTACCCCTAGATTAATTCTTCTTATACACAAAGTACCTCAGCTTTTGAATGCCAGTAGGATATGATGGAGGGAATTTCAAAATATTAGATTGCTTATTATTTATTTCCTCGTCCCAAAAAAATTCCCAGTTTAAGAAAAGTGAAAATAGATAGTTGAAAATAATGCAAAGGAGAGAAAAAGATTGTGAGCCACTTAAAATTTTCTATAAAAGATAAGGTGGCTTTTTTGGGGATTTCTTGAAAAAGGAAATAAGGAGTCTTCTTTTATTTTTTTTTGGGGGGGGGGTGGGGTGGAGGGAGTATTATTATTATAATCATCATCTTTAAAAAATCATATATCATCTGTCGATGGACTTGTAGAGAACAACGGTCACGTATTTGGAGAGGAAGCGGTGGGTAGAGCCGAGAGCGACCACGGACGGGGTGGTGCTGCTTCTGCCCCTCTGCATGTAGAGGTGGTTGAGGACGACGTGCTGAGGCCTTGAGAATGGAGGCGGGATTTCGGACTGAGATGACGGGACGTTAAGCAGTGTCAGCTGCAGATGTGGGGGCACCAATGGTGGTTCCTTGGCGTAGTCGTCGCCTCCAAGCTGTGGGTTGCTGTATGATGAGTCTGGGGATAGTGGTGGCTCGAAACCAGATATGCTCTCTATGTCTTCTGGGACGTAATCCTGCTAGTCCACACACACACACACACACATTCATTCATTAAGAAATTTATTTTCACATTAGAACAACACAGTGCAAAAGGATTTTTAGTAAAATAGAAAAAAAATCAATTCTCATCCGGTTTCAACACATTTTGTAACTAAAGAGTTGAAGAACATATAAAACAAGTTCAGAAATAGTGAAGGACATCCCAGATATAGTAATAGTTTGGACTAACTTTAAAAAAATTTTAGCTAAACACAATCTTGCACTTGACTTGGACAACACTGAAGTCCACTGTACCAAACTTTAGTGCCTAACTATTCATGTCTATGATAACGGGAGGAACTCCAGCAACCACAGTACACACATGATTGATGATGGTGTTTAGCTACTCAAGCTACTGTCAGAGATTCAATCATTTATAGAGAAGGCCAACACCATGTTCGACTTGCATTTCGATATCATGGGCAGCGGTAGAATGCAAAGATGGTTATGAGGCCTTGAGATGCCGAAGACTACTACTCTATGTTGTGTTCACGAGGGCTACTGATTTTATTGAAGCAAGGCTTACTATGTTAAGAACCCGAGCTGTGATCAAAGTTGGAAATGAGATTTAAATATTCTTAGGGTGGAGCAACAAGTTCTATAGCTAACCTTCTTGACAATATGATCATACATAATACTAAAGTAAGTTATTCATGTCCCCTATGTTAGGCATTGCTGAACCCAATGTCGCAAAAACAGATTACTCAGGGTAAAAAACTAGTTATTACAGAGTATTATAGTGTAAATCAAGTTATACTCGTGGGATGCCCTCCAGTGTTTTTGTCTCTTTTCAGTATTTCTTCTTTTCAGCATTTGGTGAGATACAATACTATGACTTTGACTAATGGGAAGTTTATTTCAGGTGAATAACCTAAAAATGAATTTGGGACTGTTAAGGAACCAACTCAACCAAAAGCTCAAGCTTATGGTTGTAAGCCCAGGAAAGGTTTTATACTCTAACACGCCCCCTCGGATGCAGGCGAGATCAATTTTCTCTCGAGCTTGCAAGTGAAAATTATTTTTAAAAAAATGAGTGGCGGTCAGGTTTGGACTCGTGACCACTAGGTCAGCAAGGCTCGGATACCATGTCACGGAACTAATTCAACCAAAAGCTCAAGCTTATGGTTGTAAGCCCAGAAAAGGTTTTATACTCTGACGGGGAAAAAAAATTTAATGAGAGTGGCACTTAAGTAGCCACTCAGAGTGCTATGAGTACTTAAGTAGCAAGACGCAAGGTGTAAAGTAAATCGCACCTAATCCGCCAAATAATTTTCAAAAACATTTGTTCCAGTCTCAGTTCTCCTTTCTAGATTGATTACAAATAGATTATGAAGTTGCAATAAATAAAGCATGACATTAGACAAACTACTCCATTGACGGTGGGAGAAGGTTAAAACATCATTAACATGAGAAGGGCATTCTATTGAAATGCATGCGATTGAGATTTTCTTTTCTTATTCGTAACAAACACCTCACAGTTTTATAACTACAGATTGAACAATAGACCTGGGAGGAATCTCAAGGTTTATTTGATCAGCACACACATCAAAAAAACAATTTATAATACTCCCTCTACCCAATTTATTTTTCCACTAACTACTCAAGTACTCATGTTGCAACAGAGTTCTCTTTCATTCTCTTATTTTTAACAGTAAAGTTCTATCATGTTTAAATTTGGTTATTGTGTCATAAATCCTACATGGAACCTTTTAGTGTAACTTTTAAGAACATTTTCATTACTAATACTAATGAAATATCATTCAAATTGAAATTCAGTTCACTCAAACATTTTAAACTGTAAAAGGCCATTTAATTTGAGACAGTGGGAGTAATTAAAAACCAAACCCCATAGACATGGAAACTGCAATTTTACCTGCAAGTCCAAGACGTTGTAATAATTTCCAGCTTCATCGGTGACAAAAGCCACATCTGGGGAATACCTCCACTGTCCATCAACTATAAATCTGTACCGATAAACTCCAGAAGGGAGCACTTTCATGATGGTAAAATCTTTTCCCGACCTCTGCAAAGGCTTCCTGATAAAAGAGTTTATATAGATCTAAGTCCCTTGCAACCATAAAGCAACAAAATAAAAATGGATGGTGAAAGAAACTGGCACACACATATACCTTGTTTTCCAATCGTCCCAAGATCCCTCCACAGAAACTTCGTTGCCGCCACGGCTCCAGATTATTACAGTTGGAATTCTTTGCTCATCGAGTGTATCATCAAATCCAGATGCCGTTTGCACCCATGGAGGGGTTGGGATGTTCAACTCATCTGGTCTTTGTAGAGGAACCACAGGCATCTATAGCAATATTTGCAAGCAATTGCACAAAATCAGAATGGAATATATCATTCTTTTGCATCGTGTGAGAAATTATTCTGCAATACAGCATGATATAGATGAAAAATTGAACTTTAGAACCCATTGTGTAGACTATCTCTTCTTTATTTTAGGCTTATCGGTCATTTGCCCTTGCCAGTCAGAAATTAAATTTGGATACGATCATTGCCTTATTGATTTGAATTTTTGAAAACTCATAAGTTGAACTAGGGGGTAGGACGAACATTCTGATAATGGGACACAGTCTATCCACAAACACCACTAAACTGGCACACCTATGGATTAACATCAATCCGATAAAGATTAACAACGTATGAGTATATATTTATTTACTCCAGATTTAAAAGATCGAAACACAGAAAAATGGTGAATAATATTCCACAATACAGTAGATACTATACAAATTAGAAGAACCTCAAATTTTCACTGAGCTTCAGTAATACTCTGTGAAAAAAAGGCATCCGATTCTTTCCAAGATTCACAAAATTACAGAGACAAATGTACATTTTAGCAATAGATCCATCATTTTATACTTTCTAATTCCGTTTTTCCATCGAACAAATCCTACAAATTCAATTCATAGACTCCTGTCGTTTTCACATCCCAGATCTAACAGTGATTTTCAGTTATACCAACCCCTGCATACGATTCAGAAACCTACAAGAACCGCAATTTGAAGAAGAATTAGGTGGGCATTCACCGTAATTTTCTTAAATCCGATGTCGACACCGGGCTTCCATAGCCAAATTCATCCAAAACTCTGTAATTCTACGGCTAATTTCAGACGTAATATGCCAAATAACTCCGGGAATGAAAGATCATTGTAATGATTATTCGAATTAAAAAATAAACACTAATGATTAACATATGAACAAACCTGAGGTCGGAACATCAGAGGGGAGCGAGATGCCCTAGGGCTGGAAGGGGGAGACTGGCCCATGAACTCGCCGTCCAACTGCGCGCCATCCTGCGCCGCGCCGTCACGAACGCCGCCGGCGGTCTCTTCAGCTCCGGGCGGACTGTGGCCATTGGCGTCGTCGTCGTCTTCTCTCCCATTGACATTTCCCATTTTATTTGAGCACGAAAAGGCAAGTCGAATCTGTACAGTGATAATGTGATATTCCCTTGGCCAACCCCATGTGACATGTGTGTTTGTTATATATAATCCCTCCTTCCCAAACCTATGGTCACGTACATAATTGAATTTATTTTTATTTTTATTTTTTAAAAATAAAAATTATGGTCTTTATAATTTAAAAATACACAAAGTATTCTTTAAAACTATACATGATATGTCATTATTATTTTAATAAATAACTAACGAAATTAAGCTACGAAACAAAAAATTGTTTAATATGAAGTAAATAAGTAACAATATTTTAGAACGAATAGAGTATTGTTTACATAATGCCTAAGTGACTTTTCTTATAGTCTGTACACGTAAAAAAATTATTCAAATAGGAGTAAAGCATACGGAGTAGTATGTATCTACAAAATAGAAGTAATATATTTTTAATTTTAAAATAAAATTATTACATCATGACAATATAAAACTTTTTTTTGGTACCATCGTTTTTCTAATACGAACTCTCGTATCACATGTTCTTTGAAGTTTAGCCCAAAAGTGCTTAAAATTTGTAGTTATGTACTCTCATGGTAAATTCTACCCATTTGACTGTTTTAATTGAAAGTTTTGTTTGACCAATCAAAACCAAAAAAAAAACATACTTCGGCTACCTTACATTGCCTAGCCTGTTAAGCAACTATTAGGTTTCATATTATCTGGAATGTACCCTATAAACGGTCTCATTGAATTTTAGATTAAAATACTTATTTTTATTGTATTTTTGTAAATCTTAGTTGTGAGTAAGAAAATCTTTTATTTCTAAGTTAAATAGTTATATTCTTAGCTGTTATTCAAAAAAACCATTAGCTAAGGTATATTTTCATCACAAAAAAACAATTTTAAAATATAAAATTTATTTTATTACTTCAAAAATACTTTTAAAAAATTCCAGTACTAACTTTTTTTTATTTGTTTATTTTATAAAATCAATGTATTTATTATTTCTTTGTTTAAAATGCACATTTTACTTCAATATATTATATTCATTTTAATTTTCAACTTTTATACGTGTTTTGTAACATTCTAATTTAAGTTTTTAATTTTAGTATACACATTTAAAATTTATAAATACCTTTTTTTAAATATAAAGTCTAAATAACGGAAGATTTTTATTTTAAAAATGTATTACGGTAATAAAACTATAACTAAGATAATGAGATTTCATAACAACTAAGAAAGAGATTTTAATAGAAAAAATAATGATTTTTCAATGTAAAATTTAGTATTTACATTAGCAAGAGAAAAATTTAGCAAACAAAAGATTTATAAAAATACAATAAAATATACTTCCTTGGTCAAAGAGTATTTCTCCAGTTTTGAATATTAGTAGTCAACAAAGATTGATCTTTGACCAATATTAAATAAAAATTACATATATATTAATTAGAAAAAAAATATATTTTGAAAATATTTTACAAGATAAGTTTAAAAAGATTCTCCATGTATTAGTATATTTGGTTAACTATGTTTTTAGTCTTTATAAGATAGGCGATATTTTTTTTTTATTTCTGTATTTTTTTTTGTTAAGTCATCATTACAAATATCTTTATATTGAAAATAGTCCTTACGCATAATTGACTTCTAATTTGTTGAAATAACATATTTATGTCGTACACTCGTAGTAAGCATCACGGTCTTGCATTTCTATTACATTTGACACGATTCCCAAGCCCTCAATTGTGTTATTATTCGTATTAGATGTTCAATTTTAAAATATTTTAAAAATATAGTATAACAAAATTTGAAAATTTATGAGAATTAGAAATGCATGATGAGGATGTTGATTGGAAATAAATGTGTCATGTCAATAAGTTAAAAGTGCTAAGAACTTTAAGGACCATTTTAAAAAAATTTTAAGAATGACTTAACAAAAAAATTGTAATGACCAAAAACAAAAGTCATTTATATTACAATGATTAAAACATATTAAACATATAAATTTTATTTAATTAATGATCAATGTCTATAAATTTTGATTGCAAAAGCTCAAAAATAGAAAAATATTCAGTGACAAAGATTGTAATCATTATTTGATGTAAAGTTTAATGCAACTGCTCCTAAAATACATTTTGAATAATGTGAGGCCTACAAGTTATTTGCAAAAAAACACGAGGTACACAAGAGTAAATTTGTTAGTGCGTGTTTTATTCATCAAAATAACAAAACTTTCAAAGTAAAAAACAGAATGTACCATCAAAATACATTAGCAGTTAGCACAATTTTAAACACGCTCATAGTATATTTCCAAATTTAGATAATGTGAGACTTGAAAATCCTTACTTGAAAACCAAGAGTATCTTGCAAAAATTTTCTGATGTTTTTGGTATTATATGTTGACGTTGTTGGCATTATAAGTAATACTTTGGGATAAAACTATGAATGCCCTATTTTATTTATTTTCATATGTTTTATAGATATTTTAGTCTTTCTCTCGAGAGTTGTGCTAAAATAATCTTAAAGTTCACATGTGAAATATTGATATTGGCTGACATAGAAATCTTTTATTTTTTCAAAGAGCTCAATTAATCTATGGTATATATATACTAAGGTTCACAAAATGAGTATAGATATTAAAGCCCACTTTAGCATATAAGTTGGGTTTCTTTTGCCCCATCCGAATTAAGTTCCCATTTTCAACAAATTTAAACAATTTACTCTTTATCTTTTATGAGCTACAAATTTAATTCATTCAATAAAAGAATAGATTGGGAAGTAGTACCCCATATAAAGGAAAAAGAGAGAAATGATGATATCTTATGTGGATTAAAAAATTCATTTTCACTTCCTCTCATTTTACCCCAAATTAGAGGGGGCTAAAATTGAAGGATGTATAACATCTTTCAAATCAATCACCCTTTATATAAGGGTGTTTCTCTGTACTTATAAGCTGGTCAAAATAGCTTATAAATAGTTTTTTACAGTCAATTGATGACATGTTTATGTGTGTTTATAAGCTGACTTATAAGTTGCTTATAAGCCAAAAAATTAGTAGGTCTTAGCTACTTATTTTAAGTTACTCCCTCCGTCCCTAAATATTTGCCACACTTGTATTCCCGAGGCAAAATATCAAGTTTTTTCAATTCATTTTATTTACATATTGGTATAGAAATAAAAAATAAAATTTACATATCAAAAAACTACATGAAAAGTTCTTCTAAATAAGAGGTGTCAATAATATTTTATTTTATCAAATAACCAATGAAAACGTAGAAATAAACAAAAGTTCCCGCAACGCTGAAAAAGCAAATGTTGCAAATATTTAGGGACGGAGGAAGTAATTTTTTTCGTTTCTCCGTTTTGACCAGATTATTAACAAAGTTATCTCTCATCATTTATGAATATTTACAAATGATTTATCTATCATTTAAGTTATTTTACTTCCTCAAAAAAATATTTGACTTATAAGCAGCTTATAAGTTAAAAACTAATTATCATCAATAAGTCAATAAGCACCAGCACAGAGAAACACCCACATACTCTCAAAACAAACAAAGAAAAATCATCTTTTACCCCTCCCCTTCCCCTCAATCCAAACGCACTCTTAAAGGGTTGCCAGTAATTCAAAAGATGAGGTAAGGGGACTTATTTTGATGATAAAGGGGAACTGATGACAACAAATAAAGTTTTATTAAACCTTTTCTTGATATGTATCCAAATACATCTTGGTAGGAAATAAAACCATACTTTGAGCAACAATGCCTAAAGACTGTATATACACACCTAAAGATGAGGTAAAAATGACTTACTTTGAAGTGTGGATGTTTTGCACATAGAGAGATAGTCTCAATTTAGTAACACTTCGGGTTTGCACTATGTAATGTGGCCAAATTGTTCGCACTAGCAGAAAATGAATCAGAAATGTCAAGCTAATACAGCTTCAAAAACTGTCAAATGGATTGACAGAACAAATCCTCCACTACAAAAAAGAAAGACTACTCAGGCAGATGGAGATTAATGCTGACCTGAATTATAAGTTATCACCGCACGCCGGTCTGACCTTCATGCAGACATGGGACGCACCCATATTTGCACATCAGCCCTAGAACTTGCTCAAGTTTACTCTTTTCGCCCCATCTTGAGTACGCTTTATACATTATCCACAATGTTTTCTTTGTCTTGTCAAGGTTCACTTTCTCCATCTCGCCGAGAACGTTTTCCATCTCTACAAGCCTCCTGTTTGAAGAATACATAACCATCTTACAGTGGTAGAGAGACCTGCAAATTTTCCAGCCACAACACTCGGCACGTTTCACAAAATTAGAGAGCTTGTCCATTGCACTGTTCCGGTAGTAACACGTGACAATCCTTTTCATCACACTGTTCGTTATTATGGAGGTGTTGTGCTCAAATGCCTCATTGATTGAGGTGTCCATCTCTTCCATCAGATTTTCTTGTGCGTATAAAAGTATCAGCTTGGTATTCAACCAAGGACGGTAGTCATTTTCCGGAATCAACTTCAGCAATTCCTTGACCTTTGAAACTCGATTCATAACAGAACTTTTACAGTAAGCCAAAATCATTGTCCTGATCAATGGGATTTCATTGTGATCAACGTGATCTTTGACCAGCCTATAAGTCTCCTCCATCTTTTCCAAACTACCTGCATGGGCATATCCCCTAATGATCAGTAAATACGTAGTTAGGTTCGGCTTTGTGATGCTTTCTTGCATGATTCTGTAAGTCTTCTCCATGTAATCCCACTTCCAAGAGGTAAGATACCCAGCAATTAGATAGTTGTACGTAGCCGCATTAGGTGATATGTTTAAATCTTTAACCTTGCGAAAGGTTTCTTCCATGTGATCCACCAGCAATAAACGCCCGAATACAGAAATAAGAATGTTATACGTTACTATTGTCGGACAACACCTTCCCTCCTTCTTCATGTCCTCAAATACAGATTGGCATTTCACAGCCAACCCATTATACATATATGCACTCATGAGTGCATTGTACATAGAAGTTGTCTTGACTTGCTTTTCGGCAGCTTCGCTGAAGATATGTGCAGCAAGATCAACATCTTTCATCCTACCCGCCGTACAAATTCCCTTGGAATACTCCTCTGCTGCTAGAGGAGTTACATAGTCTATTTCTCTTCTCCAATTGAAAACCTACAGATCACCTCAAGCAAATCCAAAAAAAAAACCTCAATCAAATTGTTACTTTGATATACTAGCTTTCGATTTCAAGAACAACTGTGAATTCGATAGACCAAAATGAGTGAGGAAAAGAACCTGGATGGCTAGCTGAGGGGACGACGAAGAGAGCTGTCTCA